CCAGAGTGGGAATGTCCGTGTATGTTTGTATTTCTTATGCAGTGACCAATGTTTGAAATAGGGAAGAGTCTTAGTTTTCAGTGTTTATCACTTCACCATACCAAAGCCATTGTTTCTGACCTTTCTTTATTTGATTTATGATTTCAGTTCTCACTGTGTGACATTTTTTAGTGCTCTTATTAAACACAAAGCTAACTTTACTTTATATATGTATATGTAAATATTTCCCACATGCACAAAATATATTTTAATGAAGCATTCTTTAATATTCCCCCATCTAGTCTTGAGTGCCTTAAAACAGACAGATTCATATTCAGAAGTCACACTGAGAATAAACAGATCTTGTATTTGGTTATGGTCATGCTCACCTGCCTATTGCAAGTATTAGAATCACCTGAGGGACTTGTTACAACAAAATTCTGGATCCTATTCCCAGACAGTGGGTTTGAATAATTCCCATTCTAAAAAAAAATGATTCCTTCATTATTTTGCATACACACAGACACAGACAGACAGACAGACAGACACACACACACACACACACGTGCACGCGCACACGCACGTCTTTGATAAAAGTAGGTTCCAATCATCCTCAATTATCTACTTCCCCTTCCTGAGCTATGGACAGTTAATGGTTGCGGGGGCAGAGAGAGTCATATTCTTCAGTGATGTAGATACTTACACATTGCCCCACACCAGGAAATAATTTCCATGTATACGTGTAACCCTAATTGCATGCAGCGAGTCTCTTTCTCTCTCTTTCTCCTCTCTCTCTCACACACACACAGACATGAAAGTAGGTGGGGACTTAGGAATAAAAAAGATATATTTTTAAAGCAAGGATTTAGATACAAGCACAAATAACAATTTCAAAAATTATTTTCCTGCTCCACTGTTTAATCCTAGGTCGGTGCTCCATGCTGTCAGAGCTGAGCATCATCACATTTGATGGAAACAACGCTGCACTGTCTAGCATGGCTTCTTATATCTTAGTAAGAATTCCTGGGGAAATTATAGTTGTTCACATTGAAAAATGTTCCAGGAATCAGGTAGGTCATAATCTATTTTGCAGTCATTTCTTTGTAAATTTGTAGGTGATAAATACTGTAACACTGGAGATTCTCACATGTGGAAGCACTAGGAGACTGCTTCTAATACTGAAACCAAGAAATATTTCATATAAATATATTTGTAGGTTTATAATATCACCTAACTGATCTTTTAAAGGCCAACTAACACATTTGTTTTAAAAGTGTTTCTTTGCTTATACTTTTTTTCAGAATGGAAATTCATTAAAAAAACTAGTGAGCACTTGCAAATTATTGAGCAAATTCATTCTGCTTACTATAAACTATATTTAACTCCATAAAGTTTATTTTTTTTCCAAATTAAGGCTTCTTCTGGAAGAATCTCTGGACTTTGTTTTAAGAAGTTGAATGTAACAACATCTACACATAAAATATTTGTCAACAGAGCAGCAAGAAAGGTAAGGGCACAAAATTAAAAAAAAAATATTCACATAGGATGTGGCAGTCTTAGGGTTTTCTCTAAGATCTGTGACCACTCCCGCTATGTGTATTTGGTTATGTTTACAGACCCACACTTGAGTTTCCTCCAATTGAGTGGGCTTTTAATCCAATTAGGTAGCTGTTGACTTCCCCCAAGTTAAAAGTGCCACTACTACACCAATGTATTATGCTGTGCTGGCCATTGAGGTGGTTATTTGGTCCTGAAGCTGGTGCTGGACCATAGATTCATGTTTTCCCTTGACACCTTCATAGCATTCTCCAAAACTACGAGAGCTAGACTTCAGGGGAAGTGGTTTCAGTTGCAGCTCTATTGCTCCAAATCCTGTGCCCGAAGTGTGCTCTGTCTTCAGCAGGAGGCTCTTACCTTCAAGTCTGGGAGGCCATCAAGGGCTGTGGCAATAGCCTGAATAATTTTGGGAGTCTCTTGGACCACCCTGGCCAACAACTCAAAGGAATGTTTCGCCTCTCTGGCACCATTTCTTGTTATGTAGCCTTTAGCTATACCATAGACTCATGTAGAGATAATCTATGTGTGATTTGTCATTAGGTTGTTGAAGTAATATGATTCCCTCTGATTTTTTTAAAAAACTAGCTAGGCATTATTTATCTTTCCTCTCTCATTGTCTAACCCTTTGGACATGGTTTTCTCATTTAAAGTGTCCTGATTTTCCCCATTTCTCCCTTGATAATACCAGTCTCCTATGGTCCCACCTCTCTTGAGCTTCTTTTCCTTTATCCCCAAGCTTCCTTGTTTAACCCTCCTCCCCCCCTCTCCTTTAAATAACCCCATTGTTACCCATTTCTTCCCCTAGTAACATCTGTCTTCTACTGTTCTTCTCTCCCAGATTCTTTCTTTCCCTTTACATCCCTGGTTTCTTTTCATTATTCTGGTTCCTGCATTTATGTCTGGATACATATTCACTTATAAGGATTTGGTTCTAGGATCCACATATAAGAAATTATACAAAACAATTATTTTCACAAAGAGTAAATTAAACATATCAGTAAGTGTAGTTTCATTGCTTTTGTGGATAAATATTCTTTTCATGGAAAGTTAAAAATGATTTTTAGTATTAGATTTTTCCTCCACTTGTATGACAGTCATTAGCTAAGAGCCATGTTAAACATCTTAAAGCTCTCTCAGAAGACGTGCGACTTTCCACACCTCTTCTTCCAGAGTTAATGTTTGTGTTTCAAGTCAGATAAAGGCAAGAATGTGAGGAAGGGAGGCAAACTGTGGAAAACGTAGTACCAAGAAGGGTAAAGGGAAGAGCACTGAGAGGAGATTGAAGGGCTGGCTTGGAAGTGCTGACCTCACTATCTTTTAATGAATAAGAACTAACTAAAATAGAAAGAAGATATATTTAACTTTATAGTAATAATCTAAAGAACAGCAAAAAGGTATAAAAGGCTTGAAAAGAATCACTTGGTTTTATGGGAAAACCTCTTCCCAAGGTGTTTCTTTAGGATGTAAGATGGAGTTATGAGTTGGATACATCACTCACACCTGAATGGTTCTCTCTAAAGTATAAGAAAAAAACGTGCAAAGATTTTACTTAAAATGACTGGCATATTATATTGCTTTCTGCAAATAATTGCTCTGTTATCATAGTTTCATAGATTTTAGGCTGGAATTAATATTAAAATGAGCATAAAGTAAAGCCTAAAATATGTAAGTATGATACTTTTTGAGATGATATCATTTGAATATTCTTTATTTTGATGATGTTCTTAGATTACAAAGAAGTTAATAGGAAATAATTGCAAATGTAGTCAATTCCATTATTTTGAGCATTTGAGTAGAGGGGCTTACATTTTTTGCCCCAACATGAGCTCACTTCTGGCCATTTGTTGAACTAATAACCAGTTATTTAAAAAAATTTTTTTTGATCATTTACATAATACAAATGCTGGTCTTAACCTCGAGCTATGTGCAGTTGTGTGGGTTTTACATAAATATCTAGTGGCTGAAAAGCAGGAGGTACAGAGATAAAATTATGAGCATATCATGGAAATGCAGAGGAGTCATGACACAATTACAGAGGGTCAAACAGGTCTGTGTGGACTAGGTGACATCTGAAGTCTTAACAAGTCAGTAGAAAGGGGAAAGGGGAAGGGATGATGGCTCAGCTCCAGGTGACAGCAAGAACAGGATAAAAAGATGAGCAATAGGAAGATTGGTGAATATAACAAACAGTTACTGTTACTTATAGTTCAACTTCTATGTCATTGCCGTGACAAAGCACTGTTTTTATTTATTTATTTACTAAATATAATTTTTATTTTTTGAGAATTTCACACGTGAAAATTGTATTTATATTACTTCCACCCATCCAAATCTTCCTCCAAGTACTCCCATGTTCCCCCAACACCTTTACAGTTATTTGTCCTCTTCTTTGACAATTGCAAATATTATTATTATTATTGCAAATATTATTACTGCATATTTCTAGATACATTTATAAATAGACACATATAAAATGTGCTTGGTCCATTTAGGACTGACCAATTTGGATTAGATAACCTCTCAATGAACTGGAGAAAACTGATTCTCCCTCCCTCAGCATCCATTAGTTGCCTGTAGTTCTTCATTTTGAGGTGGGACCCTGTGAACTTTCTCCTATCTACATTGACATGTCAACTGGTTTTGTCATTATGAAGATCTTGTTAGGCTACCATACTGTGGCAATTTCATGGGTGCAGCTTCCCTATTATGTCTAGAATTCATCAACTAGTAGCAGGTTCTTCTATGTCTCTCTCTCTTTCCATCCCCTCTTCCACAATGTTCCCTGAGCCTTAGTCTATATTTATTTATTTAAATTTTAAAAGTTTTTAGTGTTAGATAACTTCATACATGAGTACTGTATTTACATCATTTCTACCCCTCCTGTTCTCATCACCAAACGTCCACATGCCCCCACCCCCAACACTCCTTTAAATAAACATTCTCCTAAGGGTTGTGTTTATATTATTCTAGGTAGATGTGGATTCTATTGTTGTGCCTTTGCCCTTTTCAAGTCAAGAACTATCCATAGAGGATTCTGGTACAATGTATGTGATCACTACTCCTTCTGGGTTAATAATAAAGTGGGCTCACCTTACAGGAATTATCGATGTTCACTTCAGTGCCCAGTTTAACTTGTCTTCCTACACAGAAGGACTTTGTGGTAAGAACTGATCTTAAACTTTCTATTTGTCTTGTTGTGTTTGCCTGCTTACACTATATATATATATATATATTTTTTTTTTTTGGACTCCAACAACCTGCTTTCCCAATTTGAGAGGCAATATTCACGTTTAGTTCTGCATGTGAATACTGCAGAAAGTAAACTCAACAAACACTTACGAGTCAAGAAACAGCATTTCAAATTAGGCATTCCACTGAAATGCATGTTTATTATGGTTCCTGTTATACTTTGTGTTTGTGCTAGCTCATATTTACTGACCATTCAGAAGTTGTTAGCCATATTTTAATTTACTTAATTCTAATCTGCTCTAATAAGTTGGTCTCAGGGTCATCTTAATTTATGTGATAAAAATGTATAATCAGGGTTGTGGGTGAATTTCTCTACACTTCCTTTGGCTCTATACTCCACTGATGAAGAGTAAATTTATCTAACTTTCCTCAAAGGAACTCAAGGCTATAGCATGTCAATAGGTCAGGTAACTTTAAAGAGAAAGAGAGATCATCTTTGTCCTTGAAATCGTGGCTCAAGTTCTGACAGTGGTACCTTAATATTTAATGAATCTTTGTGTCTCAAGTGACTGCTATCAGCTAGCTGGTCTATGTCTGGGATTATTTGTAAGGATTATACCAATCAGAACTCTCTTGTAAGGATTGTGCCAATCAGAACTGTATTTGTGAGGACTGTGCCAATCAGAGCACGCCTGTGAGGGATTATTTAGACACTGGGTATGCAAGTGAGGGATTATGTTGATTGGGTTAACTGAAGTGGGAAGATTCACACTGAAACGGGAAGGCACCATGCCCTTGGCTTGGGTCCTAGACTGAATAAAAAGGAGAAAGGGACTCGCACGTGAGCATTTATCATTCTCCTCTTCCTGATTGTGGATATAATGTGACCAGATGTGTCAAGTTCCTGTTGCCTTGACTTCCCCACAAGATGTATTATACTCTTTTTAAAAAAATATTTTACTTTTTATTTTTTATTTTATGTGTATGAGTATACTGCCTGGATGTGTGTAAGTGCACCCATGTCACAATGTCCAAGGGAGCCAGAACAGGAGGTCAGGTCCCTTGTAACTGGAGTTACAGGTGGTTGTTAGCTGCCATGTGGATGCTGGGAATTGAACCCAGGTCCTCTGTAAGAGCAGCCAGTGTTCTTAACCCATTTCTAGAGTTGTGTCATGAAGTAGGCAATGGAACAGAAATCATTACTGAAAGCAAAAGTTTATAATTTTCAGGCAGAGGTTCCCTTGGAGGATAGAAGACTGGAATTCATTCACTAAATATATGCTGTACTGGGAAATAAATCACTAGATATAAAATTTTATTCTTAAGTTGGAAGACTATAGGAGCAGAAGCAGTCTCCTCTTTTCCAATTTTCTGTGATAGTGCACATATCTTCATTTCTACACCCATGATTTCTTTCATAATCATTTAAGATACAATGTTTTATTAAAAACCAGACATATAATTTTAAAGATCTTATCAGGGCCCAAATCAAAAGATTCCTAAATTTAGCTGCTTAGTGCTTTATTCAGTAAATAATTTATTAATTTAATGTCATGTATTAAGCAGATTAGTTGCACTGCCTATATTTGATTATTTGATGAAAGTGAGCTTTTTTATTTTTATTTTTCTAAATGCCACATGCCTTTTCAAGGAATTTGCAATGATGACCCAGACGATGACCTCAGGATGCAGAATGGCACCATCATTACCAACATGGAAGACATAGAGTTATTTATCAGGAGCTGGGAAGTTGAGAAATCATTGGAAATGACGACGAGAAGACCTGTTAGGAACTGTACTGAGCATGACTGCAGTCGCTGCATTGAGCTACTGAACAGAAGATCTTTCACTCCTTGCCATGACAAAGTAAGTCACAAGAAGTCAAAAAGGGCTGTTGTACTGGACTCATTGAGAGAAAAAACAAACAAAAACCAATAAACTAACATTTTTGCTATGCTGTTCTACTGAGAATACTTTCTCTCTAATCCTATCAGCACATTGTGAAGTTCAGAATCACACTTCATAAATTTATAGAGACAGGAAGGATAATTATCTTTTGTTCCTCTTATGTTTTGTTAGAACTATTGGCTTTTAGGAAAATAAAACTCCTTTTCATGAATAAATTCCTCTGAATGAAAGTGATCAATGGCAATTTGTAAGGAAGCTAAGACAGTGAAGCGTTAATCAATTCCTATGATCCTGACCTCTAATGTGTATATACTTGTAAGCTCAATGGTCATATACCCAATTCAGTTGACCTTTGTACTCTCTTGTTTTCTCAGTTTAATCACTGGGTCGAGAGCAGCCCAGGTCTTTGGGCATAAACATAAACAATTAAAAGGGAATATGACAACATTACCATTGGGCAAAATAACAATAGCAGGTTCTACTTTAGGGCCTATGACCTCCATGGTCATAGGCTTTGACTAGAATTACAGTACCAGATATGAAATTCCCTCTTCTAGAGCAGGCCTCAAATGGCACAAGTGGCACATCTTGCTTGGCAGGTTGGTAATGCAGCACGCAGTATGCAGTGCTGGGTAAGAGAGTTGTCTTTTCTTCCTCAGCAACCTATGTAGCACGTTCAGGCACCATGATAGCCAGCCCCAGGGAGCAAGTTTCTCCGTTTATTTGAGATAGATTTCTCTATGTCCTGCAGACAAAATGTGTGTTGTATGTCTTCAGCAATAGAGTTTTACCAAGCATTATAAATTGTAAAAGCTACATTTTCCTTTAGGAACCTGAGAGATTGACTGAATCAGAGAAGCTTTTGCTTGCCTAGGTAACACATGGTGTGATAACACAGGGTACAGTTTAGTCTGTGATAGCCTTAGCTTTTTTCTTGGGATCTTCCTGAACAACTGACTTAATGTAAGGAAAGCTGAAGTCCACAGATAATGAAGAATTGGGCACTAACAAAAATGTTTATTTTATATCTAATACTCTAAATATACAATCTAATACTCTCTAATACTATAAATATACAATCTAATCTTCATCTGCTATAAAAATAAAATCCAGTTTAACTGGTCATGGTTTTTGTATCATGGTTAGAAATATGATTTTTCCACACTGAATAAAATAACTAGGATAGGGCACGGTCAGAAACAGGTGCAAGAGCAGGCTTCTTCACTTCTAGAGTGAGGCAGATGTGAAGAAGCTGTTCATCTAACAGATTTTCTTGCTTCCCCATGAGCAAGTACAGGTGTAGGGCGTTATAGAAGGAGTTGGATAGGTAAGAAAGGAAATACAGAATTTAACATCTATCCATTCATTCATGCTTACTACATGTTTACTGAATGGATGAGAGAAGAGAAAAATTAAAATAGATGAAATAAGTTAAATTATTCACATTTCAGGTTGCCTCTAGAACAGAGTATAAAACAGTGAGTCTCTAATTACATTAAAACATGCCAAGTTATGTAACTTATATAACTAACATGCAATAGGAATTAAAAAAAATTGAACCATTTACAAACTTATTTACTGTACAGTGTGCTGTAAATTATGGACTGTTTAAGGAGTTTCAACTTTTTTTCTATAGTAGATAAAACTCTTGTTAATTATATGGAAGAGATAATTGCAGCTCACAGCATCATATCAGAAATAGATTTTTGTTAGGCCTGAGATAGTCTGTTATTTTTATCTTTATAAGGAAGAGTAATATAGATTAGCATAGATAATAGTTATGTAAGATTTGTTGTGGGCCTGATTCAGCAGTTAAGAGCACTGGATGCTCTTGATGAGAATCCAGGCTTGATTTCGAGGGCCACATGGTGACTAACAGCCTTCTGTAATTTTAGTTCTAGAAACTCTCTTCTGACTTCTGCAGGTACTGCACGACATGGATGCACTTATGTACATGCAGGCAATACATTCATACACACAAAATAAAGATATTAAATAACAAAAAAGTTTAAAGATAGATTTATTGACAATATTATAAATTCAGAAGTGACATTGAGTGTTGCTGATTTTTGAGAATTTGAGATCTAAAAGAAACTTGAATGGTATTTATTTTGATTGCTTTTGTTCTTAAGTTTGTATGTATATATTTTTGAGTTTTTGTGTATTTCATATATGAGATCTTAATCAAATCCAAACCCCCTTGAGACAAGGCCTCACTATGGAGCCTGGCTAGCCTCGAGCTTACTATGTAGACCAGGCTGGTCTCAAACATGCATCAATACTCCTGCCTTTGCCTCCCAAGAACTGGGGTTACAAGCATGCTCTACCATACCTGGCCATTAATAAGATTCTTCAAATAGTTTTAACTCAGGGTTTTTCAGTAGTTAAAACAACATAACTTATACTAAGGTAAAATATATCCCTAGGTTTCACCAAAGGACTTTTGTGAAAAGATGTGGATTAATTACACCTATTTCTGGAATTATGAATGTGATGCAATTTCTGCATATGTTGCTCTGTGCAACAAGTTTGACATCTGCATTCAGTGGCGAACCCCTGACTACTGCTGTAAGTAAACATTAACACAATAATATTTTCTAATCATTATATAATGTTTCCTTTTTGTATTAACGTTCTTCTTTTCATTTTTAATCACAAAAGAATAAAGTGTATGGAACAAAAAATATGTCACAAATACAAGTTACATCACTAAACTTCAGAAATAAAAGGGACTCTGGAAGCTCTGGTGTGACCATCTCTGGCCCCTCCCTCCCCAGAGGAATCTCTGTTCCTGAGCACTGTTTTTGATTCATCTTGAATGCCTGCAGTTTCCAATTTCACTAGACACCGTCAAATTGTTCCCCACTAAAATCCACTAATTTATACCCTCCCACAAGCTGAGTATTCATTTTTTAACAGCATGACTTTTTTTTTTGTTGTTTTTTTTTTTCTTTTGGTCTTTTTGAGACAGGGTCTCCCTGCAGCCTCAGCTGTCCTGGAACTATGTGGACCAGGCTAGCCTCGAACTCAGAGATCCGCCTGCCTCTGCCTCCCAAATGCTGGGATTAACAAGAATTTTCTAAAACATCATTTAAAGAATGCTCAGCAATGTTTCCTTAGCAGTAAAAGATTAAACTTCAACAGGCAGCATTTTTCTTGTTTATGACTTGGTTTGGGTTGTACATTTAAATTCTGAGTAGAAGCTGTATCTCTTCTTGCTGAAGAGCAGTAGCTTCATAATGGTTGACTATGTATTTATGTGAACCAGACTTAGGCTGCATGTTGGTGATATTTATTTGCTACAAATCAAATGAACATTTCTCACTGCAACACCTAATACTAGTTAGATGTTTGGAAGGTGCCTTCACATTCCAGTGGCTATTTTATTGCTGATGATTACATTAAAAATGGTCTTTGAAGAAACTAAGATGTGCAAAATTTATTTTTGTTAAACAGGCTGACATCTCTTCCTTTTATCAGAATTTAAATAGATTAATTTTGTTATTAGCAAATTTTGTCCTTTATTGTTCAAAGCACTGAGTTGCCCAGAGGGGAAGGAATATCAGTCTTGTGTACGACCGTGTGAAGCAAGAACATGTCTCAATAAATGGTTCTATGGACACTCTTCATGTCTGAATTTAAGAGAAGACTGTGTGTGCAAAAATGGAACCATTCTTCACCGTCCAGATAAAACTCAGTGCATTCCAGAGCAAGAATGTGGTAAGAAGTATAAAACGATTACTTAGAGATCCAGAAATCATACACAGAAAATTATTATTTAGATATTGGAAAGACATGCTAAGGGAAAATGATCAAAGATAACTTAGGTGTTAGAAAGGAAATGAATTTATGACTTGTTTTTTAATATGATCTCAGTTGGAGTTAAAATTAGGATCTTGGTGATGTTATATTTTAATCTTTACTTATGTGTGTATTAATAACTAGGAAAGAAAAGGCAAATTAAGAATTAAAATGTAAGTTACAAATGTAATTTGTAGGATCAGTTTCAGTTATTTCTTATATAGTACTTCACTTTTGCTCCTGTGAGTCTAGGCTGTGTCTCTGTAAGACAGAGAAATTAATGTCACTTATCTTCTACGGTTACTAGAGGACACACAGAGTATTAAAAAGCATTTTTTTTTGGATTTAGTCCCTTGAGAAAACAAACATGCAAGAAACAATAGATAGTATTCTTATCTAAGGGAAAATATTTAAAATTTTTACCTTCATGTTCAAATAATTTTTGCACAATGTCTTGAGAATTTTGAAAACTGTCACATGTATCTTCATTGTGGTTAGAAGAAAAGGAATTTAGCTAATAATTAAAGGGAAGGACAGATAGAAAAGAAATGCAAGGACATGTTCAGAGACATGCTTGTGATTGCCAGTAAAGAAAGTATCTGTGGAAAGCTGTAGAAAGGAGCAGTAGTATTTGTGGCCTATTTACAAACTTTGGTTAAAGAAAATGTAACTTAGTAAGTGGTGAAAGAAAAGAAGAATCTGAGAAAGGATAGATTCATGGCCTGCTATTACACTGAAGAATCATGTCATAGTCTGAAATAACATTCTTGACCTTTCAAAGTATGCACCGATGGTGAAGATCAACCCCGCAGGGCTGGGGAGATTTGGAATGGGGGCATTGATGAATGTGTCCTATACAAATGTTTGGAGAATGGAAGCATCATTCCTATAGAACCTGTCTGTGAAGAAGAGCCCTCACGTATTTGTGAACGAGAAGGTGAAGTTGTCATGGGCATCACTGATAAGCTGACCTGCTGTTCTAAAGAAGTTTGTGGTAGGTATACAAGCTGAAGTCTTATAGGGCATGAATGACACTTGGTCTGAAAAATTAAGTAAGGGAAACAATGAAGTGTTGCCATAAATGGTGGCTCACACTTTTAATCCCAGCACTGGGGAGGCAGAGGCAGGCAGATCTCTATGAGTTCAAGGCCAGCCTGGTCTACATAGTGAATTCCAGGACAGCTGGGGCTACAGGGAGACTCAGTCTCAAAAAGACCAAAAAAAAAAAAAGTCATTTTCTCAAAGCAAGGTATACAAATACACACAAAAGTTTGCCAATAACCATTAATAATATTCAGCAATGTATGACAAAAGACAGGACTTCTGAGTCTATGACTCATGATAAGTGAGGGGGTTCAAGAAAGTCCCAGACAATCCTTAGAGTTGATGATGTCTCATATATGGTCCATGTTTTGGCTTGATGGGCTTCATCACAGTGTTAAAAACATGTTTAGTGAGAGCTGCTTCCCTGTTGCAGGTAGACAGCAAATGATTTTAGTTAAGTTCACTGCCATTGTAATGTTTTATTGCTTATTTCTAGGATGTGACATGACTTTGTGTGAAACCACCATTCCGACATGCACAAGTAGCCAGAAACTGATTGTTGGTTATAGCCCTCTTTCTTGCTGTCCACAGTACAAATGTGGTAAGTTAATTAACTAGGGAAAGTGTGAATGGATCATTGTACACTAAAGTTATTGGACTGGACTTTTTTCCTGTGTCTCCAAGGATACAATTTATTATAAGTGATTGTAGAACTGGCTAATTCCCATCAGTTTTCCCTATGTTAAGATTTTTAATTAGTTACCACTCAATTCAAAGAGAAATAACCATATTATCTCATTTTTAAAAATGTACTTTATTGTCCTAGTCTCACAAAATTTTAAATGCACTTGTGCTTTCTGCAGAATGTGACACATTCAGATGTCCCAATATTTCAACACAAGATTGCAGAGAAGACCAGTTTATGCTTCAAGTGCAACAGGGAGAACCTTGCTGTTTCTACCCTTTCTGTGGTGAGTAGAGATAATTTTCAGAAGGAAGAGAAAGGATATAGGGAAAGTCTCTTATTTGCTGCAAATTTTACTGGACCAATGGCAACCAGTACTTTGTTGTATTATAGGAATTAAGATGAATGAGAACTGTAGAAAACAAAGTAGATTTTAATAACTCTTGATAACTATTACTTGATAACAGTGCTTACCCTGTCAACTAAAGTGTGTATCTGGTCAAACATGATCAAAACAACAAAATCAAGACTTTTCTTTAATGAAGCATGTATCTCACTTTTGTGAAAAAAATTTAGCATGGGCTATCCTGGAAGAGCCAACTAGAATATTATGCACTCTGTTGAAACATTGTCAAAGCCATTCAAAGAATTATCAAATATGGGAGGCATGGAAGAAAAGTGTTTGCTGCATTGTTCAATGACAGATGAGAATAATCAAAGGCAGAGAATGAAGAAATCTCAATAAATAAATCAATGATATTTAGATTTTCATAAGAATGCTATTCTAGAAGTATACATGGCTTATATTTTTTATAAGACTTCCTATTTATCATTGTATCTAGGAAGCATAAAGCATTTATCTTTTCAAAGACTTGATTTATTATTTTTATTTTATGTGTATGTGTGTATTGTCTGCATGTAGGTAAGTGCACCAATGTCATGCAATGCCTGTGGAGGACAGAAGAGGCTGTGGGATCCCCTGGAACTGGAGTTATGGAAAGTTGTTAGCTGGCATGTGGGTGCTAGGATTCGAACCTGGGTCTTCTGTGAGAACAGCCAGTGTTCTTAACCGCTGAGCCATCTCTCTAGCCCATAAAATAGTATCTTTAGGAAATAAAGCATTATGCTTTGTTTTCCCTATATTTTTCATTTATCATGTATTTTATTTTGCATATGATAATTTGAACTAATAATTAGATTTTATAATAATGTGACTTTTTTTTTCTTTCACTTTTAGTCTGCAAACCTTGCACTGAATCTACTCCCGTCTGCACTGATGGGGAATTCCTCACAGTGGACCTTAATACTACACATTTATGCTGTCCTCAGTACTACTGTGGTAAGAATATTTTAAGCATATTTAAAAATATTTAGATGTGTCCATGAAATGTCTCCAAAGAGTTAGATGTTCAAGATGTCCAAAATATCTTTGTGGTAGTGCTACATCAAACCCTTTTCCAGGGCCCTTGATGAGCTGTGCTAGCTCAATTACTGTGGCCGAACCTTCTTACCAGCCATTCACTCTATCTTCATGAGCATATGGCAGTTGGGAGGTAGAAGAGGCAACACTTGGGACCCAGAATTACACCACTGCCTTAGTAATGGCAGTAAACTAAATGGTAGGTACTAAGGAGAGCAAGTCGATGAGGTTCATCTTTACTTATTTGATTTCTTTTCCTAGTTTGTGAGCCAAATCTTTGTCCTATACCACTAATCAACTGTGCAGAAGACATGAATCTTGTGAAAGAAAATGTGTCTGGTCAATGTTGCCCAAATTGGCATTGTGGTAACTAATTTAATATTTTAAAGCTTTGAGATACTAAATAGATGCATTTTGATCCATGTAAACGTGTTCATTTTTGCCTTTTAGAATGTAACTGTGAAAACCTTGTTATACCAACTTGTGAAGTGGTAAGAATTCATCCTTTGATTGATTTATCATATTATTCAAATTGGTATCTTCTCCCTTAATCTGTTTCATTACTGACTCATTCAAAGTAAATTTCCTCAATAAATTATATTAAAATAGGATAAAATAATGATATTGCATAATTATTAACCTTTCTATATTTTACTTAAAATGGTTTAATACATTTTTAAACAGGCAACTTAATCTCATAATCTTGTGTCACTGAAAGCCCAAGTTCTTAAAATGAAACAAAATACTGAAAAAATGTGATTTTAATATTGAACTGTATCTCAAATAACTCTTTAAGAAAGTGTACTTCTAATTCATGCTTTATAGAAGAGGAAGAGGTACAAACATGTGACTCCTTATCTCTTCTTGAATTATCTATTAGTATTGAATTTATAAAAATTTTAGTGACTTAAATTTTAAAGATAACAAGGATGACTAATGATAACTGTTAAAGGAGTGCATTTGACAATACTTTATAGATCTTTTCATCAAATATCTATCTTCATGATATGCTATTATGTTTAAGAAAGACAATGTATCTCTGGTCCCATTTATTAGAGCAATTGTTGCCTTTCACAAAGACATTTCCACTTTCTATTTTTCTTCTCCTTTTTAAAGTGTACTTACATAACTCATTCAAATATTTCAGTACCAAGCTATGTTCTGGGGAATAAATGAGTCTCATTTTCAAGTAACAGATGTCCACTTTTCATGCTACTATTTTATTTTCAATAGGATTAAGTCAACATTTCCTCAACTGATGTTATAAACAGAATGCTAAAGATTTATAATAATTTTTGTATTAGTTACTTTTCTCATTGCTGCAAGAAGCAACTGAAAGAAGGAAAGGTTTGGGATCATCTATTGCCCATGATGGGGTTATTGCCCATGATGTGGGAAGGCTTCAGGAGTATGAGGTGTTGGCAACTTTGTGTCTGCAGTCAGGAAGCAGAGCAAGAATGGTTGTGGGCCACAGGCTTCCTCTCCTTTTGTTTTTAATTTAGTCTGTGACTTCATTTCATGGGATGGTGCAATTCTCTTTAAGGGTAGATCTTCGTTCCTTGGTTAAAGCTCTCTAGAAATACCCTCACAGACAAGCCCAGAGGTCTGTCTTCTAAGCAATTCCGTATCTAATCATGTTGACAAGGAAGGTTAGCCATCACACCTTCAATACAAATTTTCAACTGATTTTGTGTTTGTGCTTTATGCACATCTACATAAGTGTAGGATTGTGGCATCTTATTTTACTCAAGTCCTTATTTAACACTGAATCTTCATAAACTACCCATTTTTAGCTCATTTCATGAATAAGGAAGTTGAGGTCAAAGAGAATAGATGAATGAATGATTAAGGACAGGATTCAAAACAAGGGCTTTGTGTGTGTGTATGTGTGTGTGTGTGTGTGTGTGTGTGTGTTTTCTTGTAATCTTTCTACTTTGCTTAACTCTTTTCATTTCCCTTCTTTTTCATTTCACTATTTGGAGAAACCATAACAGTAAATGTGGGACTCCCTGGTCTCTGGGGCCTTGACTTTCTCAAGTTATATCTTACTTGACTCACTGTAATATCACTGAAAATATCACTTCATAGATGATAAAAGTGAACTACACAGTACCTGGTACAAAGAAAGGGATCATTAAGGATTTATTATATATATTTCTGTGTTATCACAAATAAATTGGTATTCAGAATACTAACCACAAGGTGTAAATCATCATGGGGAATTTTTTTAAGGATGGGCACTACCAACAAAAGTTTATGTAGTCAGGTTAATAAATGATGTAAGAAGTTAGACTACTTCATCCAGAGGCTGTAAGAACACGGGTATATACACAAAGGCACGGCATAACAGATGCATTCTGAGGGAAAAATAGGCTCTCATTTGGAAAAAAGACTAAACCAGAAGAGGAATAATTTCAGATAAAGATCTGACCAAATTGGTGTATTTGAAGAGGGTTTTAAAGACAAGGCTGAGATCTCAGGTTTGATCTATTCATTTCTTTTCAGTTATAGATTCAACCAATACGCATGCAGTTGTGGTGCAGGTCTCTTGAAAAGGCAGCTGAGCTCTGAAAAGCTCAGTTGTGGACCTACTATATTAGAAGAAGAAAAGGGTGCTGAATGGGATGTAAATTATGGAAAAAATGGTTTTTGAGGCAGGAAGATGTGGCTGTGCCTATGTAGGAGAGAATATAAGCAGTAAAATGTCAGAGACCAGAAGATAGACTAAGAATAGTAGAGCCATTCATGAATGAAGACTTTCCATAGAGTAGGGTCTGTTTGTAAGTGAAGGAGTGCAATTCAAAAAGGTAAAATGGAAGACTTTGGCTCTTTGCAACATATTGAACAAAAGTGTGTGTGTATAGGGTGGGGGGGTGTATGAGAGAGAGAATACTGGGTACTTGGCCCACACTCTAATAACCAGCAGAGCATCTCAGATTAGATCTTGGAATTCCAGTCATGTTAGCCTCATTCAGATCTCCTCTGTTAGACTGGAGGATATTTAACATCATTTGTTATTAGTTAAATGTAAATTAGCACTACAATGGGAAACCGTATCATGTACAATTTAAAGAGAGAAGTTATAACATATTGCAAGAATATGGAGAGGTTAGAACCATCATAGACTGCTTAGCAGTGTAAAATGGCGCACATGCTTTCAATAATAGCTTAATAGTTCAATCACAAGGTTAGGCAGAGTTATCATGTGATTCAACAAGTTTCATCTTAGGTATATAGCCATAAGAAAGTAAACAAATGTATACAGAAGCTTGTATTCAACTATCATAATAGTTGAAGAATAGAAACCCTCTGAGATGATTGCTTTTAAGTACTAGTGACTGTAAAGAAGAGTAATGCTTGTGTGGAAGTTAAAAAAAAAAAACTATCTTAGCCTGGCGTGGTGGTGCACGCCTTTAGTCCCAGCACTTGGGAGGCAGAGGCAGGTGGATCTCTGTGAGTTCAAGGCCAGCCTGGTCTACATAGTGAGTTCCAGGTCAGCTGGGGCTACAGGGAGACACTGTCTCAAAAAGACCAAAAAAAAAACAAAAAAAAAACAAAGAGCAAAACAAAACAAAAAAACCAACCCCCCCAAACAACAACAACAACAACAAAACAAACATCAACAACAATAAAAACACTATCTTATTTTATGTAATGTTAAGTATTGGTAGAATAATGAGCATATTTATTCTAGGAATAATTGTATACTTAAGAGAATAAAACTATAAGTAAATATGTGAGTATGGCTTCGAAAGAAAGACAAAGAGGACGAGAAGATTGAAAGCTAAGCTTTCTAGGAAGGGATGAGCACTGCGGCTTTAATTATTTTCAAATGAAAAGTGCTGGTAGGTGACCTACAAGACAGCACTAGCCAGATCCCTCAATTCATCTTTAGGGTAGCTTATGCACTACTAGAATTTGATTTATTATTATTTTTAAAACTCAATTAAGACATTTTATTTCCAATCTTCTTGGAATTGTCTCTAGATTAAAGTCATAAAACAAAAAAAAAATTAACATTTATGAAACTACAATTTATAAGGTACTATAAAAATAATATATTAGGTTACAAGAAAAGTGACTTTTAGATGTAAATTTATTAGTGTAAATTTATTAGAATAATTTCTTCATGTCAAGAATCAAATCATTTATTACCGTGTGATTTGAAAATGAAAGGCACTGTGGGAAAAGTGATTCTTACAAGAATATATTTGAAAATTTAGACCTGGTCCTGGGCTTGCTTAGATTCTAAAGCATTCCCAAGTCTTGAGTCTTAGTCGTGACAACAGTTTACTAATAGCTACAGGTTATGCAGTACTCCTGTTTACCAGCTCTACTCTGCCCACCTGACATATATTGGCCCATGTTTCTCCATCCACATTACTAAGTGGTCAGCAGTATCATGTCTGTTGCGTGAATGAGGAATGTAAAGCAAAGATTGGCTGAGTAATACCTACTGACTCATATAACTAACTAATGAGAGCAAAACAAGATCCCCACACTGAAGTGCTGTTTCTGAGTTAGTGTTAGTCACTGTTCTAAACCCGTAGATCCCGCTCTATCTGTATGCCATAGAAGCCTTGCTGGGACGCAGACCTCAGAATTCAGACACCCTCTAGAGAGCAGGTAGGGCATATTTCCACAAATCAAAGTTTTCAGGGGTACCAAACTTCTTTTACCTCCAAATTGTCCTCTAGCAGCTCAGATTCAAGTGATAGCATTTTAAAGTTAGCACAGTCTAATGTTCATCTGGTTCACCTTCTCTCATTTAATAGATGAGTAAATTAAAGTTTAAAGAGAGTGGATCATATGGGCCGGGGGTCGGGTGGCTCAGTGGTTAAAGGGGTTGCCCCCTGCTTGTGCGGACTAGTTAGGGAACACAGCACTTATATAAATGCTGGGCAGGTGCCCACATGTAATCCCAGCACCCTGGAGACAGAGATAGTAGATCCCCGGAGCAAACTGGCTATCTAGACTAGCTGAGCTGGTGAGCTCTGGGTACAAGTGTGAGACCCTGCCTCAACATTGAAGATGGCAAGTGACTGAGGAAGATGCCCAGCATTCTCTGGTCAACATACATATGCACACACTTATGACATACATGCACTCACACAGGTGAACATGCACACCCCTCCCATAAAGATGTCGAATAATTTATGATCATATTTCTTATTGTGAATTTTTCCTGAACACTAAGTGAACTTCAGCCTATTCACTAAAAATGTTTGTTAAATACCTGCTAAGTGTCTTTATGAGTGTTTAGGAAATTGCTGCATGTTATAATGTCTCATTTTAAAATTGTCATGGTAAATCACATAAAAATAATAATAACAATAATAATAAT